AATTATGGAATTAAGAGGCAGGAATAATTCTTGTGAAAAGGGCTTTTGAAATCAACAGAATAAATTCAGCCAGGACTGAACACTGAAACTGGTACTTTGCTATGGAAAGAAAACCAACTGCAATAAAATGACAAAAGCTAGTCCAAAGCTAGGGAAAAAACACACACGCACAAACTGAGGATAAAAATTTACTTTAACTTTTGAGCGTGTGCCCTTTTTATTTGCACTTTGCACAAATCAGCTTCTGGAACAACTCTAGCATGAAACAGGGAAGGTGACTGCTGAGGAAACACACCCAGACGGGACAACCACAACCTGCACCTCTACGAGCAAACCCACTTCCAGAGGTGATGCCCATCGACGCGGAGACGGGGACTGACACACATCCCGCCTCTCCATCCGATACATCAACCGTTCTGGGTCACAGTTTTGCTGAAGCCGCGTCACAGCCAGCGTTCCTACCCACAACTGCTCAGCATCTGCTCATGGAGATCGCAACGCATCGTTTTGGGGGAGATTTTATTTTCCCCTCAGGTTAAATATTTCCTAAAAATCACAGAATAACTGACAGCTGAACGTGGAGGTTATGACGCACAAGTTTCAGGGAGATCTTATTTTTCCCCTCAGGTCAAATATTTCATAGGCTCATGGAAGAGCCTGGCACATTTGCAGCAACCCTATCTGCAAAGAAGTCCCCAGCCCCAGATAAGTGCAAGAAACGCTGCGGGTGACACCGGTCACCCCCTGCCATGTCCGGCCATGAGCCACCCAACGGGTGGGGAAACACCACCGAGCTCCCTTGCTGCCAGCAAGCCCATGCCAAGAAACACACGTTAATCGCCGGGGAGGACGAAAGGGCAGGATGGCTCATGCAGCGTGACGGCTGCGATGCTGCTGGCTCCCCGGCGCTACCGGCAGCGGCGGGCGATGCAAGTGCAATGTGCAACGTAGCGCGGTGCTCTCCAGAGCTGGAGTGGCTTTCCAGGACTGAGCTCCGCGGATTGGCCCGGAGCACCCCGCTCTCCTCCCTCCCTACCCTCCCTCCTTCAGCACCCTAAACCCACGGAGATTGGACAGCCTGGTGCCACATGGTAGAGAGGAACCAGGATAAAAGATGAGCTAGAGTTGGGGACTGTAACGTCCACGGCAGAACAGCTGGGAGAAGTTTGCAGGGAGGTGGCATCAAACTTCTCTGGCTGCACCGACTCGGTGCAGGGGAGGACAGACAGACGGACGCCGGGGCTGCGGCCACCCAGAGACACCCGTGGGGTAAGCGCCAGCTGCGGAGCATCCTGTCCCCTCTGTGCTGAGCCATGTCCCTGGTAGTGAAGGAGAAGAACCACGTGCGGTTGGTCTTCTTGGGCGCTGCCGGCGTGGGCAAGACAGCCCTCATCCGCCGCTTCCTGATGGACACGTTTGAGCCCAAGCACCGGCGCACGGTGGAGGAGCTGCACAGCAAGGAGTACGAGGTGAGCGGGGCCAGGATCAAGGTGGAAATCCTGGACACCAGTGGCAGCTACTCCTTCCCGGCCATGAGGAAGCTCTCGATCCAGAACAGCGATGCCTTTGCCCTGGTCTACGCCGTAGATGATGCCGAGTCCTTTGAGAGCGTCAAGAGCTTGCGGGAGGAGATCCTGGAAGTGAAGGAAGACAAGTTCCCTCCCATCGTGGTTGTTGGCAACAAGGCAGAGAGCGGCGGCGAACGGCAGGTGCTGGCAGAGGATGCCCTGTCGCTGGTGGAGCTGGACTGGAACAGTCGCTTTGTGGAGACGTCGGCCAAGGACAACGAGAACGTCCTGGAGGTCTTCAGGGAGCTGCTGCAGCAAGCCAACCTGCCCAGCCGGCTCAGGCCGGCACTCTGCAAGAGAAGGGAGACGTTGCCCAAGGAGCAGGCGTTGAGGCCTCCCATGAACAAGACCAACAGCTGCTCAGTGTGCTGAGTCAGCCGCCCGGGGCCAAAGGAAAGCGCCGGCAGCAACTCAGGTGGGCTGGGTGGGGAGAGGCGCTACCTTGGCCAAAACCAACCCTGCTGCCTCCCACCCCTTCTCTCCTCTTCCCCACCCAGCCTGCTGGGACCGGTGAGAGTTGGAGATAATGAAGAGGAGGGGCTTGGAAGGGATGCTGGTTGCTGGAAGGGCATGGGGAGAGGGCAAGTTCCCGAAAAGGCAGGAGGCATACCTGGGAAACCGCTGTCCGTCAGCCAGCACGTTGCATCTGGGCCGTGGTGAGCTTGCAGGCAGGCAGGCAGCTCCTCGGGTACTAGGAAAGGCGGACAAACAAGGGGTCTTTAGCTGCATGCATCAGAAGGTAAATGTGGGCATCTGTGCAGCTGCATTGCAACCGCCGGTGCTGCTCTCCCGGGTCTCATTCGGGTCCTGTGTCACGTCACCCCAAGCACTTGCACAACACCAGATCCCGTGTCCAAAATAGTTTTGATTTTGTACCTTGGCATAAAGCATGTGATAGGGCAGTCTGTGCATCTCCTTGGTTTTCTCTTTTTGTTTGTTTTTTTTTAAGCATATCCAATAAACACGTTGTTGCAAAGTGGAGCTGGAAAACGTCTGGGTTTCTTTCCCCTGTACTTCAAATGCTGCAGTGCCCGATACCAGTGTTTTATGCCCAGACCCCTTATCACTTTGTTTGCTCTCCCTCTTCCGCGCTCCAGCCGTATCTGGAGTGTCCTGGCTCTGGAGGAGCCTCGCCAGCTCCCCAGCCTCCCCTGGCAGTGTCAGGACATTTGGTGTTATGATTTTCCTGATGATTTAACCACTAAAGATTTTACCAAGCATGAGTAACTAAAAATAAAACAGCTTTTCTCACGTCCAAGTACAAAAAAGAACAATAGCCATTACAAGACAGCTGATCCACTGAAATAAAACACATAAACCCATTAAAAGGAGTGGGAGAAGAGCACAGAAGGGCAGTATTTACTGTGCTTTAGCATGCACTGCACTCATTTACTCTCCCCTCGCACAGCCCATCCTTGCTGTAATGAGCATTTAACCTGCTCAGCAGCTGCACAAACACAATAAATAAAGATATTAAAGCTTGGTGGATTAAAGAGTCATCTACCCTGGTCCGGACCCAAGGGAGTTGGGCAATTTGGGGTCCGAGCTTTCAGAAGCCCAGCCCTACAGTACGGTGTGCCCCTGCCCGGCCCAGACAGGCAGGCTGACGCAGGATCACACCCAGTGATCCCAGCTCTTTCCCGACCCAGGCAGAGGAGGAGAAGGTGCTGGCAGGGAAAGCCCAGCCTCCCCGTGGGCATCCCTCACTGGAGTACCCCTCTGCCACATCCCCCGTGGGCACTGGCACAATGACAGCAACCTCCAGGAAGGCAAAATCCTCCTCCTGGAGCTTGGTGCAGGATGAGGCCGGGGCAGGCAGCGAGGAGGGCAGGCAGGCTTGGGCAGGACCCGCTGCTGCCGGCCAGGTGGGTCAGTTTGCCCTCACCACTCTCCGGCTTGCACCCACGTACCTCGTGCTGCCACCGTGATGCTCTGCGAAGGTGTGCGGCTGCTCCTCATCCAGCAACTTGGGGACACAGAGACCAGCTCAGGGCAGAGCCCTTTCCTGGGGAAAATGGGGCTCCTGCTTAGACTGAACAAAATGCAAACAAAGTTCACTTTTGGCAGCTGACCCAACGTGGCGGCACTCTGCCTGCAGCAGGGATGGGCACGATGGATGCAGCAACTTGGCCGTACCCATCATCTGGGCCACCTCGCCATGGCCAGGTGGGGGCA